CATTGTTATTATTCTCATCTTTATCGTTGTTGTTGATGATGGTGGTAGTGGTGGTGCTATTATCATTAGTTATTATTTTTGTTGTCAGTAAGTTAATGATGATTAAGGTTTTAATGATAATCATTATTAGTAGTAGCTTTTGATATTATTATAATCCTTATCACTGTCATTGTCATTATTATAATTCATATCATCATTGATATTATCTATATTATTATTATTATCCATGATATTATCTTTACTATTATCAGTATTATTTTATCATTTCCTAATATTCATTGATAATAGTAGAGGTAATAGTAGTAGCTGCAGTATGATGACCAGGATCATTATTATCATTATTACCATTATTATAACTATTATTGTCATTATTAGTATTATTAATATTATTATTATTATTAACATTTTTATTATCATTATAATTATTATTGTTGTTTTTATTATTGCTGTTGTTACCACGTTTATTGTTGTTGTTGTTATTATTATTATTATTATTATCATTATTATTATTATTATTATCATTGCCATCATCATTTCTATCATTATTGTTATTATGCTATTATCATTGTCATTATCCCTTTATTATTATTATTATCATTATCATATCTATCATTATCGTTATTGTTATCATTATGATTATTGTTATTATTATTATTATTGTTGGTTTTGTTGTTGTTGTTGTTACCATAATCATTAGCATTATTAATATCATCATAATTATGAGGATAATTTATTATTATTTTTACTATTATCATTACCATTATCATTTTTTAATATTATTATTATTATCATTACTATTATTACCATTATCATCATTAGCAGTAGTAGTAGTAGTAGTAGTAGTAGTATTTTATATTATTCATCATTTTTTATTAATTATTATCATTATTATTGATTTATTTATCTATTAGTAGAAGTAGTAGTAGTATAATTATTATTACTATTATTGTTATTATTATCATTATCATTGTAATTAACGTTATCACTGAAATTGTTATTGTTGATATTATTATTGTTATTATTAGGATTGTTATTATTGTTATTACTGTTATTATTATTATTGTCCTTATTAGTGTTGATATTATTGTTGTTATTATTATTATCATTATTATTGTTATTACCATTATGATTATTATTACTACTACTACTATTATCATTGTTATTATTGATATTATTATTATCATTTATGATATCATTATCATCATCATTATTATCATTATTATTGTTATTGTATTATCATTGTTATTATTATTACTATTATTATTATTATTACTATTATTATTATTGTTATTATTGTCATTATCATTATTATTATTACTATTATTATTATTATTGTTATTATGATGATGATAATGGTGATGACGATTGCTTTTGGTATTGTTAATGTTGCTGCTATTATTATTATCATTATTATTGTTTATTATTTATTATATTATTATTTGTTGTTATCACTATTATTATTACTATTACTATCATCATCATTATCATTTTTGTTATTAACATCATCATCATTATCAGAATAATTATCACTGTTGTTGATATTAATTTTACTGTTATTATTTCTATTATAATTATCAATATCATGACCACTATAACTAGTATGATGATGATGATGTGATGATAATCATTATCATTATTATATATGAACACTATAACTATGATGATGAATGATGATGAATCATCATTCAACATCATTATCATTAATATATGATCACTATATTGATGATGATTATCATTATTATTATTGTCATCATCAATATTATGACCACTATAACTATGATGATGATGATCATCATCATTAATATCATTACCAATATTATCAGTGTTATTATCATCGTCATTATCATTAAAATCACTTTTACCGCAGCTATCATCCCGACTACTGCCATTACCATCATTATCCCTTCTCTTTCTCTTACTTTCACCAACGCTGCCACTGCCTCCCTCCTGCCCCCTTCACCGCCCCTCCCCCTCCCTCCCCGGCAGGACGTGCTCCTGACGAGAGCCCTCTACCCCTTCCATGCCTCCCGCGTCGTCAGCGCCTACGTGAGGGTGGCTGACGCTAAGAGTGTCCATGTAACAAGGAGCTTCCTGGAGGAGTGGCAGAGTGTGCCAGCCACCGCCCTGGACCTGTGGAGAGCCGGCACCCTCAACTTCGACGTCCTCTACGAGTACGGCAACCTGCACGCTTACTCCCCGTACAGGACGTCTGTCGGTGAGGCGATGCGTTTTTGTTTTTGGAGGTGTTCGGATGTGCGGGTTTTTGAGGGGTTGAGATTCTGGCTATTTATTTTTATTTATTTTTTTTTTTTTTGCTTTTTGTTTTTGATTATTTTTTTAATCATTCATATTATTGTTATCGTTATTAATATTATCATTTGGTTATTTTAGTGCTTTTTTATTGTTTGTTTGTTTGGTTAATTGTTGGAAATGATATTACTAATCATCATCAAAATCATAATAATGATAATAATAATAAAAAGTAATATTTATGATGATAATAATAATGATAATGATAAGTATAATACTAATTATAATACTGATAACAAAGGTAATAGTAATAATGATAATGATAATAATGACAATGATAATAAAAATTATAACAACAACAATAATAGCAACAATGATAATAACGATAATAATGATAACAATGTTAATAATGATAACATAAATAAGGATAATGGTAATACTGTAATGATAATTATAATGCTGATAACAATAATGATAATGGAAATAATGTCATGATAATTATAATGATCATAATAAAGATAAAATTAATGTTAATGATAAAAGTAATAATAATAATGATAAAAGCAATAATAATAATGATGAAAGTAATAACAATAATCATAATAATTATAATGATCATGATAAGAATACTAACAATAAAAATAACAAAACCAAGGAATCGGAATCGTCGACTGTTACGTCCCCGAAATTCCCGCCAAATTCATGCGCGACCGAGACCGGGGCGGACTCCTCATCAGGAACAGTCGACGTTTTTCCGCAAAGGGGCTTTCTTTAATATCAAACAGGTGAGGTTTATGTGTGTGTGTGTTTTGTTTTATTGTTCACTTGCGTTTACTTATTTTTATTGTTTATTTATTTATTTATTTATTTATATACGTGTGTTTTTTATTTATTGACTTACTTGTTTATTTGTTTATTTATTTATTTAGTTATATATTTATTTACTTATTTACTTATTTACTTATTTGCTTAATTCTTATCGTTATTAAATTATCATTATTTTTATTGTTATCATTATGATTATCATTATTATCTTTATTGTTGTTGTTGTTGTTGCTGTTGTTGTTGTTATTATTATCATCTTTACTGTTATATTCAGTGCGTTTTTTGTGTTAGTGTTTTTTATTCAATTCATTATTTTGTGTGTTTGTTTTCAGTTATTTTTTTATTTGTAGTTGTTGATTTGATGTTAATAGTGAGGATAATGATAGATAGTGATACTATTATGATACCAGTGATGATAATGATGATAATGATAATGAGACTGATAAAAGTAGTGGTAGTAACATCACTGATAATAATGGTAAGAATGGTAACTAAAATGAATGTAGATACATATCATGATAGAATGATGATAGTAATGAGAATATTCGCAATCTTTATCATCATTATCAATGAAAACCAATGAAAATCAATAACTCAAACAATGACAATAAAAGTATAGAACCTCAGTAAAATCCAATAAAACACCAACGAACAACAACAAAAATAATAAAAAAACACTAATTCACACTAACCCACCCCCTTCTCCTTCTCCCCTCCCCCCTCCACCCACCACTCCCCATCCCCACTCCCTCCCTCCACCCCCTTCCCCCCTCTATCCACCCTCCCTCCCTCCCCCTCTTCCACCCCTCCCCCTCCACCTCTTCCACCCCACTCCCCTCTTCCCTCCTCCTCCACCCCCTTCCCCTCCCTCCCTCCCTCCCCCAACCCTCCCCTTCCCCCTCCCTCGCTTTTCCAACAGATGCGATACCTGGTGATCGAGGACTCAGCCGTCAGCGTGGTGGAGGGACCGGTCTCTGCCAGCGGCGTGGTCACCCTAAGTCAGCGCTCCCTCCACAGCTGGGTTGGATTCCGCTTGCACAAGGTCCTGGTGAATTCCTTGGGCGCCGGGGCTTTCAATATCACGCATAGTGTGAGTTGGTGTTGCTGTCTGTATCGCCCTGTTTATTTTTATTTATCTTTTTATTTCTGTATTAGTGTGATGTTGCTGTTTATTTATTTATTTTTTTATTTCAATATCACCATAGTGTGATTATATTTATTTATTTATCTTTTTTATTATTGTTGTTTTAAAAACGATCAATAAAGATGGGCAAGATGGCGTTTTTCTATGAATGGATTGGCTTCCGACTGCATGAGTTAATTCTTTGGTTGCTTCTTTGCTTTTTTTTGTTGTTGTTGTTGTTTTTCGTGGTGATAGCAATAATATAAATAAAATAGATCATAAATAGTGGGAGATGCTTTTGTTGATTTTTATTTTATATTTTTAAGTAATAGTAACAATAGAAATGATAATACAATTAAATTTGAATGTTGCAAACAAATCCTCCCTTTCTCATGTCCAAGGAATTGAGAGAGAGAGAGAGAAGAGAGAGAAGAGAGAGAGAAGAGAGGGGGGAGGGAGGGAGAGAGAGATAAGAGAATGAGGGAAGAGGGATTAATATTGATTGATATTAGAATTTTGACAGTAGAAACGACTGAAATAACACCTTATCTAGATAACATAATTTAGGGTCGAACACAAATACATAATTAAGATAAGAATGGTGAAGTTAATAGCAATAAAGATAATACTGATGATGTAATAATGAAATAATGATGATATAATATGATGATAATGATAATGATAATAATAGTAATAATTGTTATAATAATAATAATGATAATGAGAAAATTATAGTATGAAATAATATTAACAAAAATGATGATAATTTGATAATGATAATAAAAAACCAATAATAATGATAATAATGATAATAACAATAACAACAACAGTAACACCTTAATAATAACCATAACATAAAGTAATGAAACGAAACAACAAGTGAACTAATCACAACAATCTTTGATCAACCAAACAACCGAATCAATCCAATACACGAAACTAGAACAAAAAATAAATAAACAAAACTCTTCCCTATGTTTACCCCCCCTCCCTCCCTCCCCTCCCCCTGCAGACGGAGGTGGAGTCGGTGGAGGTGAGCAATTGTCGCTTCCAAGAGGTGAGCACCGGCGCCTTCTCGGTCTCTGGGAACCTCAATGTCTCCTTCTCGGAAAACACCTTCGGACACCTGCAGAAGGAGGCGCTGAAGGTAAGCTGGAGGTGGGATTTTTTTTTTTATCTTACGTGAGTTTTTTTTCTCGTGTATGATGGATAATACCCGTATGTGCGATCGCATGCTGTTGTCGTATGGTATGCGAAAGCGCGCGTGCGGCCAGAGAGAGAAGAGAGAGAAAGGAAGAAAGAAAGAAAAAGAGAGAGAGACAGACAGACAGACAGACGGACAGACAGAGAGAGAGAGGCAGACGGATAGACAGACACAGAGAGAGAGAGAGAGAGAAGAGAGAGAGAGAGAGAGAGAGAGAGAGAGAGAGACAGACAGAGAGAGAGAGAGAGAGACAGACAGAAGAGACAGAGACAACGAACAGAGAAACAGAAACACAAAGACAAACCGATACCCTCACCACCACCCTCGCGCGTCCCCTAACCCAGGTCAGCGTCACCGGCGAGGTCAAGTTCGACGGGAACCTGATCGACACGTGGGACAGCGACGCCCTGAGTGCCCTGCGGTGCTTCAATCGCTCGTCCCTTCAGAGGAACACCGTGCGGGTGGTGGCGGCGCAGGAGGCGGCGCGGAACATCACCCCTTTCCATAGTTCCTGCGGGAATCCCCAGGTCAGGAGAGGGTCCCGTTTCGATTTCGGTTTACTTGTTTATTCTTTTTTTTTTAGCTTGTGCATTTTTTCGTGTAATACGTATATATATATATACATACATACATATATATATATATATATATATAATATATATATATATATATATATATATATATATATATTAAATCCTATTCTGTCTTTTCTTATTTTTGCTTTTTATTTTATTCTATTATATTTTCATATAAAATTACATTCACTATTTTATCACATTCTATCCTTTTTTTATTATGTTTTATCTTCTTTATTATTTTTTTTTTTTTACCTTTTTTGTTCTATATTTGTCCAAATGACGGCAAACCTTTATTTTCGGTATGATACACACATTGAGTCAAAATAATAGTTGTCTATTAATACACAAAAGCACTGTCAGAGTAGCTTTTGTGGGGAAAGCTAGTATACAGAATTTAGTTCAACAATAAAAGGGCACAATGGTATTACCGCAATTAGTAATATAAAACAGAAGCATTATTTTGCACATATACACACATATGTTTGTGTGTAGTATGAATATACATCAGCGCAGTTAAGATATATAAGGGACATGCCAATACTAAAGAGAAAAACATAAATAGAGAAATCCGGAAGACTACAATATCCGCGGCCAAACACTCACTGCAAAACCCATGCCTTCCCCCAGATATTCACGGTGATCAGCAGTCCCTCGGCACTGGAGTCCATGAGCTCCAGCGCCGCCCTCTGGACCCTGGCAGTCATGGCCATCCTCCTCCTCCTCCTCCTCGTCGCCGGCGTCCTCCTGTACCGCCGGCGAGGCCTCATGATGCGGCACTACAAGCGGGACACGCCCATTTTCCTCAGCGTCTGCAAGGCGTCTGCGGACAACGTCGCCAACGGCCCTGAGCACGCGGCGGGAGGAGACGCCCCTGCAGGAGTGACTAATCCAATGTACGAGGAGGGGACTCCGATTGACGAGGAAGAGTGTGAATGAAAATCTAAACCCTCAACTTTTATGAATGAAAATTAAATCTGCGTTTCTAAACAGTTTGGTTGAGAGTGAAGCTTAGGTTTTAAGGGACAAGCGAGTGTGATTTATTCTAATGACACCTGCGGCCAAAACTGATCCAAAACTGGGAGGCTGGAACCTCTAATCAAAAACAGACATGGTGCGAATGGTAGTGAAATATGGTGTACATGTCCTTAGTCTTTTCCATTCGTGTTAGTTTTAGTGTTAGTGTCTGATTGAAAAAAGTAACATTCTCTTGGACTAACGTCGTAACATATGATCTACACAAAAAAAAGGCATAAAATAAGTAAAATCAGAAAATACAACGGATAATGGTATTTTTCAGTGCCTTCCACAGAATAGATAAGATGTAATTTTAAATCTGTGTAAATTCCAAGATTGCTTAAGTAGGAATATAAAGGTTTGTTATTTGAATAATTTTAAAAGAAAAAATATGACCTAAAATTATTTTCTGAATGATATTTGGATTAGTAATACATTTTGTAAGAGCATTTTATTTTATTTTATTTGTATTTTCACTTAAAATCAGAAGTCGCCTTTCATAATATTACAGTTATTCTGATTTTTGCATTAACAAACTTTTTCAGGCTTACTTACATTATATATAAATAATATGTGTGTGTGTACGATGTCACTCATTTTATGCAGTTGTATGGTTCTTATATATATATATATATATATATATATATATATATATATATATATATATATATATATATATATATGGAATACATTCATAAACTTATTTCTTTGTTAGTTTTGCCTTTGGCTTGTCTGTTAAACAGTATAAATTAAGCTCTGTACAGTTTTAGATACTAAAAACTCATGCAAGCATTTTAGCATTTAATTTTTGTCCATTCTGTTCACATGAAGGAAAATTGTTATCATGAAATAAAAATGAAAATGCAAATACCTTTTGGTTTACACGGTAATCTTTTCCTTTGAAATAATATTTCAGCACTGTTTATTTCTGTCCCTATGACTTTCCTGATAAACTTTGAAGTCTGCTTTGTAAACTGTAGGTACTTTGATTTGCCTGTTGGTTGTATTTCCTTTTTAAAGATTATATAATAAGTATTTTAAAAGGAAAATCACAACTTTACAAGATGGTAACTTAAACCACATATTAAACAATGATTTATTATTTACACTTAAGCATAGAAATTCATACATTTTAAAACACTGCTGAATATTTGCACAGGAAACAAAATAGCTTGATTAAATATTGAATACCTAAGCCAACCCTCTTGACATTCAACTATGCTGCTATGTGGGAAAGATCATATCATTGCATCAGCATAAATCAATTTTGAGAATTCTTTTGCAGCTGATGCAATATCAGGATATTTAAATACATATCCTGTATCCAGTGCTTTCTTTGGTGCCACCTTCTGCCCGTCTGTCATTATTTTGGCTCTGTCCTCACTGAACATGAGGTTGACGGCAATCTTTGGCAGAGGAATTATGGCAGGCCTCCACAGGGCTTTGCCAAAAGCCTGTGCAAACTCTTTGTTATTGATGATTTGTGGTGCAACACCATTCACTGGTCCTTCTACATTCTCTGATTCAATAGCATGGATGTAGAGGCCCACGATGTCATCTATGTGGATCCATGGCATAGGCTGCAAACCATCAGAAATGGGTCCTCCTAATCCCAGAAAGAATGGCAAAATCAACTGCTGGATCATGCCTCCTTGCCGCCCTAAGACAACACCTGTAAAGAGGAGTTATAGGTTATACAATGCATCGCTCCATAATATATCTAAAATCACATTTTCGTTGTTACGTATCAATACAGAAAGAAAATACTTTTGCAATTTATCTTGCACATATAATGTACTTCTACAATTTAAAGGTGAGACACATATATCATGGACAATCTATACAAAAAGAAAAAATAAGCATAGTTTTTGATTTAAGGCTTTACTTTACTTTACTTACAGTTTTTGTGTAGTATATACAGATAAACATAATTATTGCTAGATATATTCATATCAACATATTTCTATTAATTACATGCTCACAAATGAAACTATACGTTATGAATATCCAGTCTCAATTTACACCGAACAACCTGATTTCACAGTCTCAAAGAGTCTGACCCTCAAGGGGCATCATAAAACAAGTGTTTGTTTTACCGGTCCTTATTTTTGCTGTCCTGACATTGGCTTCTGGCGGCAGATCTGCAGCAGCTTCCCAATCAACGCACAACCTGGAGAGGAAGTCATAGTCTCCGCCAGGACTTTCTTCTGTGTATACTACGTCTTGGGAAGGTGCATAATAGCCTGAGGATGGTGGTGAATGTTTAAACATCTTATTTAATTCAGGAGTGTGATATGTGAGGCCAATATAGGTGGCTAAAATTAACAAACAATTAACAGGATGAGGATGAGAGAAATAGAAAAAAAAAGAATAAGTAAAAAACTTATTAGCAGACTAAATGAACACCAAATATACTCACTGACTCCTGATGATGATACAAATACTTTTGGTTTCTCCTCGGCTTCCATGATTGCTTGTGCTAGATACCTGCCAACACAAATAAAATCATGAACACCACAAGAACTCTCTAAAAGCAATATAAAATATGAAGCACTATCTTATAAGGAACATCTATCTACATATCAAGATTTGGGAATAAAAAGAACAAACATAAATTAATGATAATAAAATCCCACCTAGTTGTATTAACACGCGATGCCCAAACATTTTGCTTGAAACCTTCTGTCCAGCGTCGTAAAGGATCTAAAATGTTCTGCCCCGCGAGACTAACCACTGCTGTTGTATTTTCTGGTAGTCCAACTTTGTTCAAGTCACTCTGTCCTCTCACGAGAAGTAAGACAACAAATAAATTACACATGTATGAAAACATAAATCTGATGTGCAAGGAAGATATATAGGTGTTCATTTTGTTGAAAATAACAAAAAAAATAGTAGTAGTAGAAGTATCAGTAGTACTAAAACTGCAGTAATAGTAAGCAAGTGATAAAAAGTAAATATTTGTAAGTAAGCAGAAGTAAATGACCAGAGGCACATAAGCAGTACTAATTAAGCAGTAAGTAAGCAGTAAGTAGTGGTAGTTAGATGTAATCACTAGGTCTGTAATAATTACTAATAAAGACAATAATAACAATAATATTAATAACTGTAATGCCAATGATAATACTATAAAGAACAAGAAGAAAAAAATGTAAGGAAATGTTGCAAAAGCATCAATTCTTTGATATTACAACATACACTGAATTACAGTAAATAATGAATGCTTGACTGATGTACAAAAGTAATAACACGAGCATCACCTACCCAAGTAGTTCTCCAAGGTCCTGGCTTTCGGGAAATAATGCGAACGTCATACCCCTTTCTTTTCAGGCTATTTGCAAGGGCTGTCCCTATGAACCCTGAGCCTCCCCCTGAAACAGGATTAGACAGAAGAAATACAAGGTTATATGTTATGACAGTACATTTAGCTAATACTGTTATATTCATGAGATAACTCCTTACCACATGGAGTACAAGCTACAGCTTAGGGAAAAACAAGTCCTGGCTGTAATAACAGAATGTTTATCTTTACGTCTATAATTATAATCAATAATGAAAAATTGTACTAATTATTATCATTACCAATACCAATACCATTATCACTATTATCATTTTCATGTTATTACTGATAACAATAAACACATTAAACTATTTTTTTGAGATAAGTGCAGATCATTGGATTACCACTAACTCTGGCTTAAGTAATTATTAATATGAAACAAACAAAAGCAAAATGTAAAAAAAAGTCTTCCAGAGATACTGAGAACCTGAGGTCTTTACAATACATAAGCAACACTATAAGCAGTAGCAAACATTTGCAGACAGTAAAGATAAAAATACTCCCTTCCTTTCAAGTAGAGACACCTATTGATATTACTGCCAAAACTGGTCACAAAGAAAGTGCATAGCAGTTCTAGCAGGTTTTGGTTTCAAAGCAGAGAGTACTTTTTCATTTAAATAGTGGGATCAATGAACACAGTATAAAAAAAATAATAATAAAAAAAAATAATAATAATGGTTGAAGTGTATATGTAGCCATCAACAGGCTATGTTCGAGAAACTCTTATATTTTGCCATGGTGCACTTTTGTAAGTCTGAGCTTGTGCAACATGAAGGTTGGAGAAAAGGTATGAATGAGACTGGATATCTTCACGATACAAGAGATGTATTTGACCAGTTTTGATTATGTCTTCATCAGAAATACAGTCATAGTTCATGTATTTCTGAAGACGTAATCGAAATCGGTCAAATACATCTCTTGTATTGTGAAGATATCCAGTCTCATTCATACCTTTTCAACATTTGTGAACATGGATACAGTTCATGAAGGTTGGAGTTTGCCTTGTATATATTTACTTTATCAAAGATTTTCACAGCCGAGTTTAAAAGGAAGTAAACATACCTGCATCTCAGAATAAGAATCATGTCTTCCATGTAAATCCTACTCTACCATAAGAATGTGTTCAATAAGAATACAAATAATTATGGTTTTAGGCCTAATGATCAATCTGCATAAAAGGATTTACTTTACTAAGTACCAAAAGATTCAGTCAAGGAAACTGAATACTAGCAAAAGCATTCCCTAAACTACCCTATTTGCCACATAGAATAAATTTAGAAAAAACAAGAAATTACATAAAGCAATGAAGGTAAACAGGTCCCCATTTAGCTGTCCCCACTGTTACGATATATTTGCTGTGCTTTCTTAACATGCTAATTTAGTTGTTTTTCTTTGTTTTGTTTTTAGAATATCATTACATACAATTACTTTCCTCAGTAAGTAGAAAACATTCAAAGCAAAAACATATTAATAAAAAACAGCAGCTCTGATACCGGCAAGTAAATTCTAAAAATCAACTTGGCAACTTGCATGTCATAAAGTTCTCTTAATTTTGTACGTTTACAGAAAACAAAAAACATATACAACTCCATATTAATCTCAGAAAACATACCAATAACCACGGTTCCAAGCTGAGCACTCATATCCTTTCCGAGAAGCGTCAAAAAAAGGTGTAAATAATATCTGCTACATACGACGAGACTTCTGCAGCTTCATCTCAACAGCTGATCGCGGTGTAAACAAATCCAAAAGGTTGACATTGATTACACAAGAGGTCTTTGTATTCTATATTTATATTTCAATTCTTCTTTGAAAAAATAATTTAGAAATATTTTTCTGCGATTTATCATTTGTAGCCTTTGCTTTGTTATACAGTTTTTGTTTTGTTTAAAATGTCAATATCAAAATGCAAGAGCCTTTACTATATTTTGGCGAAACGTGAACACACACATATACACACACACGCCCGCACACACACACACACACACACACACACACACACACACACACACACGCACGCACGCACGCACGCACGCACGCACACACATACACACACACACACACACACACACACACACACACACACACACACACACACACACACACACACACACACACACACACACACACACACACACATATAAGTATACATATTCATATACATACATAATATATATATATATATATATATACATATATACATATGTGTGTG